GAGAACATAATTGTACGGCTTGTCACTTGATCTCAGCAAGGTTTATTTCCAAAGGATTAGATTGAATAAATATAGGCTTCTCACCAATGCGATTTTCATAAATCTATGAATTAATGTTACACCAACAAATGTTTTAAATCAAGTAAATCTTTAGAATAAAAAAATTAATTTGGGTTCAAATAGTATGAAATATATATATCACTTAAAAAAGTAAAAGATTTATGGCGTGGTTTTCAACTTAAATACGTAAAACCTACAATAATTCAGAATATGAAACAAAACTCATTGCGTGAAATTTGATTAGAAAATTTTTTGATCGAAATTCTTTATTTATTGATTCAAACCAAATTATAAACTGTGAATTCAACAGGTCCTCTTTTAAGTAACTGCCATTGATTTTTAGTACACAACAGTAAAAATAGCTCGTGATAATTACACTTTTTTTTTTTTTTTTTTTTTTTTTTTTTAATACAATACAGCTAATATATAAAGAAATATATATATACATATACAAAAATAATAAAAATAAGTGAATGAGTGAATGATTGAATAATTAAATTATTGTACGATTAAATAATGTTTAATATCTCCTTCTCTTCAATTCTTGATTTTCTTCCTTTAGCTCGTTATTTTCATACTCCAACAACCGCTTTTCGGCTCTCAATATATCATTTTCACGTTTGCACAATTTGTTTTCCCTATTTGCCACCTCAAACTCATCCCTTAATTTCTCAATTTTCTTCTTTGCTTCTTCAAGATCTTGTTTAGCCAGCCTGTAAGCAGTGTACCATTGTTGATAATTCTTGTCTACGAGAAGTTAAAGAAAAATCACATTAATTAATATTAAAGAAAAGGAACGATAAGATGATTTAGTTTACCTTGTTGTACGAGATGATTTTGCATTATATCCAATAATTGAGGAGTAGAATATTTGGGTACATCATCCCAATTACTAAATACGGCCGGTTTACGCGTATACACGTCACCGGTCAAAGCATTGTTTGCAGCGATGGAAGGAGATTGTGATCTCGTCGGAGGCGATCCAGGAGCTTGTGGTGAAGAAGCCCTTCTATTCCTACGTCTCCGATGTGGAGTTAACAGAGGAGTTGCGGCGGACGTTGCCCTAGTCCGCGTGATCAACCTAGGTACGACCTCATTCTCCGAGAGTTGATCGGTTCGCGGAGAAAGGTTAACTTCACTATCATCATCATCATTAATGTTGTTGTCGGTGTAGGTAATCAACGGCGTTCCTGCTCTGATTAAGACGTAAGGTATCTCATTCCTAATTGGAGCTGAAGACGATGGTTCGTCAACATCATTTTCATTCTCATTTGGAGTATCCCATCTAAAGAAATTACATCTTCTCATATGATCCGGTCCACCAAATTTGCTACATGACCAAAAGAATCTTCCTTTATTTGGGGTGTTTATTTTCACCTCCCGGAGGACTGGTTCAAGACCACAATCACAATTACTCTTGTGTCTCCTTTGCGGTGGATCATTTTGTCGAGAAGGAATTACGATCGAGTTGGTATTTTGTGAAGTTGAGAACGTATCGTTCGCAATGGACTGTGACGTGGGAATTAATCGTTCTTGTGGAGCCGAATTGCTCCTCGGTCGTAATCGTGGTGATGGAATTTCAGTTGTGGCATTTCTTGAAACGGAATCCCTATTGGAAATTTGGCGATCGGTTGCGTTACCGTTAATGACCTCCATGAGTTGTGTCACTAAAAAAAAAAAAAGCTAAAGAATGAAAGTGTTTGCTGAAACTAACAAAAGTATATACGTTAATTCTTTTTATTTTATTAAAAAAAAAAAAAAAAAGAATGTAAATTTGACAATTAAATACATTTATAAAGAGTGATGATGCCTTATTGGTCAAAAGATTCTTTCGTCAACAAAATTTCAACAAAAAATTTTTTTTTTTTTTTTTTTTTGTTTATCAAAATATCATATCGATTCCCCAACAAAAGAAATCTTATGTAAGGGCCTTTTTTTATTATTTTGGTATAAGGGTCAAAGGGAAAGACGGTCAGAGAATTTATTTCTGGTATTTATATGAAAAGCATTTTGAGAGGAGAAAAAGGCAATGAATGAAATGGTACTGGTTAAAAATATCGACAACAAAACGGATACAATGTTGTGTGACGCTTGGCTTGTGTAAAACAATAATGCAAGGCGGCTGATTGTAAAATGTTACTAATAATGAAAGAGACGTACAAAATTGGTTTCGTTCTTAATTTACATGTTTTATGTTTAACCAAATCAGTAAAGCAAACATCCTTGCGACACGATGATAAAATCCATTGCCTTAAAAAGAAAAAAAAAAAAAAAAAAAAATAACGGACGCTAAGTCCGCTATAAAAAAAACACGTTTTTTACTATTGCCTTTTTTTATAATTTTCTCATGGTGGGTTATACAAGCAGAAAAAATATCCAAAATCTGAATCGCACAACTTTCTTAAAAATTGCTGAAACAATAACAATAAACATCAAGTACCAACAGCAAGCGCCAATTATAATTCGATCAGCAAACACGATAAAAAAAAAAAAAGGCGCCAAAATATTTGTTTGACTGCGACCCACCGTCACCGTGATTGGAATGTAATAGCTTGATACTATCAAGTCATAAACAAATGCTCATTTTACGCCAACCGAATCACCTTACATATGCTCATGGGAGAGACATTGAACCATCAAAATTGTGAATTTTACTAAAAGGAGCGGGTTTTGTCAATTCGGGGTGAGTCAGGTTATCGGGAATAACCATGAGTGGTTCATTGAACTTGCACCAGCTCAACACTTGGGGTAGAAAATAAACGCGCATATTCATATGAATTAGTCAATTTATGGAATCGAGTTAGACAATCAATAAATGTGTCGCTCATAGTATTGTGTTGAGACAATATATTTTCTAGTTTCTGCAATGACTTTCTCCTGTATTTTATCCGTGAAAAGTAAATATTTGGTTCATGCTATATAACCCTTTCCGCAGTTAATAAGATTCTTTTAATATGCCCAAATTGAATAAAGTTTATTTGTAAATAAACATTGCTGCGTCACAATTTGCTTTGCCCAAGGATGATACTCGATTATTTTCATCCGTTTAATTTATGCATCGAAATAGGAAAACAATTTCTTGATTTGGTGACATCTCTTCTTAAATTTGATGTCATCATATGACTTTCCCAACACTGGAGAAACATGTTTTGTTCAATTCCCTACATGAAACTTTTATGATCACCACTATGAAGAAATTATTAATTAGCTCCAGATTTAAATTATTAATATTACACATTCCCTTTAACCAAATTTATGTAACAGGGGTAAAGTAAATTAAGTTCTCTAGTCCATAACAAGGCTTTTACTAAATCCATTGATCGACGAGGAATAAATTATTTGATAGGGAACATAGAATGTTCGACTTGTACCCCATATTATGATTAGGATGTGGTCGTACAAGATAAATGCGATAACATTACGTTAAAGTGCGAGATTAATATTTCATGTAAAACACCTTGATAATCCTGACAGAGCTAGGTAGCTAAATATTTGGAAATTATGCTAAGTATGACTGTGTAAACAGTAAATAGGAAACTGGTTACTGCATCATAAATGTCACAAATTTAAAAAAAGTAAATATATATCAAATTCAAAATTAACGTATTATCTTTTTTTTTTTTAAACAACTTAATTGATCATTGAATCCTTAAAAAATTTATTTGGATTTCAATTTTATTTCACGCCTAGTAGGATTTATTGTTACGACTTTTGGGCAATGTTTGAAAGTAGTAAAAAATCATGCAAATGTTAAAACCAGTCGAAAAAAAGTATATCATCCACAGGAACATTATTAGTTTTCGGAATTTTACCTTGTGAGCACAATTAATATTTTTAATGTTCCTTGTCATGGTAAATAACTTTTGATTTTAATCCGAACATAATTGTTAAATAAAAGTTAATTATCGCGATAGAGGAAATTGGATAGATGACGTGACCATTTTCTTTCATAAATTCTTTACTGTTAATTTAATGGACCGGAAACATATATATTATAGTAATAATTGGACTTAATACGGTGGAATCAGAAGGCTGTATACATTACCTTTATGAACTTTTGTTTTAATATGAATTTACAATGTACTAATTCAAAAAAAAAAAAGGATATTCATATCTGCGCAAACTATACTCAATTTACTTACCGCAACAAAAAAAAAACAAGATTCATCTTGTAAATAATTTTTTTATTTTTTCTGACGCTATTTAAAAATCTTAAACCATATATAAATTAACCTTTTCATAACTCTTTTGATTCTTTTTTATTTATTACTACATTTAAGGTTCTTTTTCATGAAAGATAAATAACAAAAGTATGCTTTTGTAAGAAATGGCTCGTCAATTTAAAAATTTAAGACAAGGTAAGTATATTTTAATAAAAACAATGGATGATTTTTTATAAAAGATGCATCTGTTTAAAAAATGTTTTTGCAAAATTTCTTTATTTTCGATACTCCATCTTAATCCAACTAAATTATATCGATAAAAACAAATGAAAACAATAAATTGTTTCTTTATTTTAAATAATTATAGTAAATTCTATCGGAGCACAAGTTGATGATACTTCTTAGGTTAAATTCAAGAGTTTCGAAAAGGACCAAATCAACATTTCATATTTTGAAACAAATGTATTTCCCATGGTAAATTCCGAATATGGAAAACTAGTTATTGGCTGTAGCGCAGTATTGAGCTGATAATCTTTCTATATTTAAATTAAAATTGCTTCAACTTGGTCATATGGGAGGACATTAGTAAAAAAGGAAAGCTAATTTTGTGCACATGACTGTTATCGGTCAATAAAAAAAAATTTTGACCAAAATTTATATTACCTCCTTTTCTATTGACTACCGTCCATTCTAAAATCTTGTTTTTTTAACTAATTTTCTGTTTTCTCTTCTTAAATTGTGCGTAAATGAATATTGGCGTAATATAGACCTTTCAAAATGGAAGATCAAATAGTTAGAGACAATATTTGGAGATTAAAATCTATTATTAAAAATGATCATAATGCTATAGAATCCGAATCTTTTTTAAGAAAAGAATATCCAAACGAAAACATAGATAACATTATTAACAAATGTAAGAAATATGGATTATGTTATGAATGCAAGAAAATTAGCACTATTGAAAGATTTTGTCAACCTTGTATTTCTTCATATTTTGAACAAAATAAAGGTTGGACAAGTGGAAACAAAATTATTGATGAATTTATACGTAATACTCAATTAAATGCAACTTGTCATGAAGATTATTTAGAATGGATACCTTACGAGAAGTTATTCAATATCAAGTATATTGCAAAAGGTGGTTTTAGTACAGTATATAAAGCAGATTGGATTGATGTTCTTACACAAGATGAAGATTCAATTAATCCAAATTATGGAGGAGGATTATTTCATCATTTGTTTCATTCATTGCCTCGTTTATATACAGAATATACCAAAATTGGTTATCGTAGAAGTAATAGATTTGGATGCATAGAAACCTATCCATTATATGAAGATAATAAATTTAATACTTTTAAAAATATATATGTTATATTAAAATATTTAGATAATTTAAATTTTACAGAAGCATTTTTACAAGAGGTAAAAACATTTTTCCAGTCATTTATATTATTTGTTTACAAATTTATTTATATACGCATTTTAATAGGTCATAATAGGCTATCACAAGCTAATTCTAATATTGTAAAATGTTATGGTATCAGTAAAGATCCAACAAACGACAAATTTATAATGGTTATGCAATATATTAATAATGGGAACATTAGAAATTATTTAGATAATCATTTTAATGAATTGGCTTTGATTACGAAATTAGATATATTACACAATATAGCAGTCGGTTTAAAAATCATTCATCAAGATGGACTTATTCATAAAGACCTCCATCCTGGAAATATATTAAAGGAAGACTATTCTGATTGTTATATTGCTGATTTTGGATTATGTATCCCTGTTGATGAACAGGCTGTAAAACAAAAAGATCAAAAAATATATGGCGTTTTACCTTATGTTGCCCCAGAAGTGTTGAGAGGCAAAGTTTATACTCTAGAATCGGATATTTATTCCTTTGGAATGATAGCATATGAGATCCTTTCCGGATTACGTCCTTACCATTTGTTACCTCACGAAAAATTCCTTGCTGTTAAAATTTGTGAAGGGGTTAGACCAAAGTTTGATAATATTAAAATACCACCATTTTTAGAAAATTTAATTGACCAATGTTTGAAAGCAGATCCATTAAAAAGACCCAGAGCGGAAGACTTGGAACTTCGTTTAAATCAGTGGGTTGATGATATTCGTCAAAGGAGAAATACGGAGATATTCGAACAATTTATGAAATGCGTATCTGCACAACCTTCAATGGCATCTCCATATGAAACGGATCCACAAGCAATATATACGAGCAGGCTTTTGGATTTTAAAAATCTTCCCGAACCACAAAATTCAATAGAAATTAATAACGAATTTTATGATTCTTTAGGTATGATTAATTTATATGTTTACTTTTCATACATCCTTTTTTATTAATTATATTTGTTATTTTAGAATCTTTACGAGTTGGGGCTTCCAATTTAAGTATTTAGCTTAGGTTTTAAACAGAAAATCAAAAAAAATAAATTAAGGATCGAGTTATTATTTAAATCATTTTTAAAATTTAAAATATACAATATTATTATTTTCTTTTAAATAAAATCATTATTAATTGGAAAAACTTGATCATTGCGCGCAAGTAAAAATGCTCTCTCCGAAAAGCTTTTTTTTTTTTGGATCAACAGATCTCAGAAAAATTTATAATGCTGAGCAAATTTGTATACACGTATGTATGGAAGATTGGCAAATTTTCATGATTGCATGAAAAGTTTATGCGGTAAATTTGTTTCTTGGTAAATGACATAACAACGTTATCAATATCTATCAAGTAATGAAGACGAACCATCTATTTTTGGGGAGGATTGGAATCGATTCAAAAAAGTAGAATCGGTTTAGATCGCTTCTTTCGATTTCCGATTTCAATTAATCACAATTTGATCACCAAAAAAATTTATTTACCAAATATTTCTATATATATTTGCCAAGAAGATGGTTATTATTCATCAAGCACAGGTAATTTAATAAGGCTGGACAAATAAATTTTCTTGATGAGCGTGAGGTCGATGCAAATTTCGTTACGTGATCTTAATGAATCACAATATGGGAAGATTGCTAGGAAATCAGATTCTAGGAATTTTTTAACAAAATTTTAATTTTTACTGCAATTTTATTTTTTGATGTTATAAGTTTAAAATTAATTTAGTCAAAAAAATTCTAAACTTCCCATATCTAAAAACCGATATGACATCAGCTATAAATTTATAAACGCAAATGTTCTAATATGGAATATGGCTTCAATTAAAAGAATATAAATGTTGAAGAACTGTATAGGATGCGGTTATGCACGAAATTAAAAGAGAATTATGGAATTGTAAAATGTAATTGTCCGAAGCGCATGCGTAGGACACTTCCATGCATGTGTTGTCTGTCCGCACTATGGCCAATCAGAAACTGGGATCAGGTGTAACGTATTGAAGTGTGCATATTTTTTACAAAATACTTTTTTTAGTGATATTTTTGAGATTTGTGAATTGGGAGACGCTTTGGACGCTCTAACGGAGAAATCATCAATGCTCAAATTCGATAAAATTACGCAATGATATATGTGAATGAGTAAAATTAATTTTGGTGGATTGGAAAATAACAATTGAAAAAAATTTATCATCAATATGGATTATTGCTGAAATAGTCTTATAATTAATAGTTATTGTTGTTACACGATTGAATATTTTTCATGTAACAATCACGTAAATATTATGACTACAATTTTTTAAAAAAAATGATGTTAAGTTTTCCGGTTTTTTTTAATACTTTTCAGGTTCGATTATTTCGGAAATACGCGATATTTCTTTAATTTCATTTTTAAATTCATTTATTTTTTAATTTTTAATTTTTTTATTTACTTTTGGATTCTTTCGCTCCGGGCCGCTGCGATAGAACGAAATTAATTTCATTTTTTTTTAAAAATTATAATTACCAATTAGGATCATTTGAAAGTACGCGGTATGTGTTTTTTTTTTTTTTGTTCTTTGTTTCTAATATATATTTTCTTTAATTTCGGGTTGATCTGTCGCAGCACTAAATGTTTTATTTATCCATCTATTCTCTCATCTTTATAATATATATATATTTTTTTTTTAGTTTATTTTTATAGGTTCCATTTTTGCAGTTTAAGTTTTTTTTTGATTTTTTTTTTTTTATCATGCAACTATTAATATACAAAAGAAATATTGGAAATTCATCATTCTGAGTCGATTCCATTTTTGTACAGACTTAAAGTATTTGACATGAAATTATTTTTAGACAATGATAGACCTTTTAAATATCTCTAAATTCTCAAAATTATACTTGTTTTGTAAATTATAGTTATAGGGTGGGAATATTATATCACCGAGAAGTTTCGGCATCTCTGCGATATAATAATATTCTCCATACCCAATAAGCATTATTTTCGTATTAATATTTAATCAATATATCTAAAAATTGAAGAGCAAGCATGATCCAATCGGCTGTGCCATAAATTTTATTTTATAATTTCAATCTTGACTTTATTTTTTTTTTTAATTGCCATTATAATAAATACCAAACATTTCATTGCCCGATGACATTATTGTTGCAGCTTTTCAAAATACACAATAACTCGGGCCAAAGACACAGATTTCCTTTTAAGGAACGGGTCGTAACCCGGGTGGCATCAAAGCATTAATCCGGGTAAATCTTTAGGTTAAAAAAAGCGGGTAGATAGAAAACCAGTACGGTACGATGTTGCAGATCAGTATTTTTTCGCGAAAATTGAATCGTACCGTACCGGTTTTCCATATACTCGTACCGTACTGACTCTATAATAAACTACCAGTACCGATTTTCCATATATTCAATAAAATCTATTGATTTTATCAACCGCAGTAACGAATAGCTTAATAAATTATATTTTCGTAATAGAACCGGTTCCGCTAAAAGCGTAGCACAAAACATTGATGAATATTCGGGAAGGCTACTTTTGGAATCTTAGGCTTGGTTGGTTACACAAAAATAAACATGGCTTATTAACCCGTTTGTTTCGTTCATTTTTTTTTTTAAAAATATAATTTATCCGTATTTTTCTTAAAACCAAAAGTATTAAATTTTATTTACAGAAATGTGTGATAATGTTTCCATCGAAATGCCACCTCCACATAATGGTGAACCTATTAGTATGATGGAAATATCACCGAACGGAAAATATCTTGTTACTTACAGTGAAGTAGACAAAACAATTGTCGTGTGGAACGTTGAAAATATTAAAGATATAATAGAAGGCGAAGACTTGAAAGGAAAACATCTTATAAATTATTACAAGCACGAATTAGTTGAAACATCTAGAAGTATATTCCATATATGTGTCTCTGATGAAAAGATACTAGCGTATATTAATAATAATTATGAAATTAGTAAGTATAATGATTAATTTGTCGCTATAATTATTAAATAACTTTCATGACGAATTTTTAATTAGAAATCGTTGATTTGAATGATAAACAACCTCAAGAAATCAAATTGTATTTTGAATTTGATGCAATGGAGATACAAATTTGTAACTTTAACAAGGATGGAAGGCTAATTCTATTTTGTTCTGTTAGAACTAATGTTATTTATGATTTTATCAATATTGTTTGTGTTTATTCAATCTCAACACTAACCAAAAAAACCAAGTGTCAAAATATCTACAAGTTACCTAAAGATGCGGAAGTAATGATTATAAAGAATTCTAAAATTTGGCTGCGTTTAAATCACTATATATATGAATGGAATCTTCTTACTTGCCATAATACAATTGTATTTAAAAATATATATGAGGTAATAGATAAAATTTAAAGTTGTTATCTGTATCAAAGTTATTACTAACATTTAGTTCTTCAATCAATTAAACAGATCAAAACAAAGGATATCAGAATTTCTAATAATGAAAATTACACTTGCATGAAAATAAATGATGAAAAAATTTTCATTCATTCAAATAAACATGAATTTTCTACGATGTCTTTGGATTTGAAAAACGGTAATATTTTGTTTAAGCTAAACTTTAATATAATTGTTTATTTGCTCGTATTTAAGTATTTTTGGAAATTTTCTTATAGAGGAAAAACTAAAGCATTATATGAAACATCATCGAAATTTGTTATTTCCTTTATTTGATCATCCGTTGATTTGGAAACCTAATAATAAATGCTATGCTATTGATTCTCAATCAAAAAATTATAGATTCCTGAATGTAGATGATAATGAATTAAACTTGGATTCATTAGTGGTATTAAAAGTTAAAAATGATGATAAAGACCATTTAGAATTTTCTTACTTTTCTTATCAACAAGATATTTTAGGAGAATATCAATTAGATATAGGTTCTATTTTATGGAAAATCAAAAAAGATGAATTAGGAATACAGACATTCATAATTGAAGAAAATCTTAATAAACTGATGGAAGAAGATGCGAAAAAGTTTATTGAAATGTTATTAGAGATCAAAACAAATGTGAATTTTCTTGGAAGCCGGATAGATAAATATAAAATTCCGATCAAAGAATTTATTAAAATGAAAAGTATGACTAAATTAGATATTAAAATTAGCCAAGCGTTAGAAAAGAATTTTATTGAACGACTAACTATAATTGATGAAGAGAAAGATCATGATAAATGGAAAAATAAAATAGGAGAATTGATGAAAGATTTTAATAAACGGATAAATAAGATAATCGAATTAAAGAAAGATCCTAATCAATTTAAAATTATAATAACAAAAACTTTTTTAAAAGTTAATGAAGATTTGATCCGTCTATTTGGTACAGATAAATATTTAGATCGCAATGGACTTGAAATACTTGTTTACAAAATATTAAAGAATAATGAAATTGCTCTACTAACAAACATTGGAATTTTCATATTCCATTTAAATAATGAAGAGAAATTAATTTCTTTGGATTATTTTTATCTTATGGAACCGGAGCCAATTATCAAAATTATCAGTAAAATAAATGGATATCCAGAAGTTGATGATAAAGATAGGTATTACGTATTTGTTAGTGGATTGGTTTCATATATTCAAAAGAATAATGAAGAATTTTCAAAATATGGTTCTGCATTTTTAATATATGCGATTAAGTTAAAAGATTCAAACCTAATAGATGATATATATAATAGGTGTTTACATCACTTAAAACAAGATTTAGATAATAATATCGATATATTAAATGTTATTAATGCATCAATGCCATTATTGGATAAATATTATCCTGAATATATAGCAAGATATTCATTAGATACAAACATGATAATAGATTCTATTGAATATAAAATCGATCATCTTAGTACTTCACATCTTTATCCATTTTCCAATATTGAAATAGTTGATTTAACGCCATCTATTGTTTGGACAAAATATACTATTAAAGTGGATGACATGTATTATCATGATATAAGGAGAATAAATCGGTCACTAGTGAGGATTTATTTTAAAATCCAAACTGTAATATTTTTTTTGACATTACCTATTTCTTTTCCATTATTTTATATTTTAAATTATTTTCATTTAATTAATGAAATATACATCGATGGGTTTTCTAAGTGTTATTATAAATGTTATTATTCCATATTTCCTGAGAAACATATACCTACAATTACTTTTATTATTCCTTATTTCAAATTTGTTAATTATCCACAAATTTATAGCTGGTGGGAATTAATTGCGCCTAGACCTAGTTCATTTGTAGAAACAATAAATAGAGAAATTTATAAAACATGGAATGGTGAAGAATTAATTAATTTCAAGTGGAATGCATATGGAAAATATTATTATTATGCGATTTGGATGAAATTTACTGCTTTGCTTGGATGTTTTATGGCTGCTTCAACATTTTCTGACGTGATCGTATCTGAAGATATTAGAAAACGACTTCTAACCTCCTCAATTGTTCTAGGATTTACTCACTTCACTTTCGAAATTCGTCAGTTTATTTATGACCCTATTAAATGGATTATTGATCCTTGGAACTATTTAGGTAAGAACTTATACATATTTCAATACAATATTATAAATGGCCTCGATTATCTAATATACTGTAAATTTTTTAAGATCTTGGAGCATTTTTAGTTCCTACCATTACATCTATTTATTGGTTAGGTACCAACGATAAACCCTTCTTTTGGCTATCACTTTCATGTCTATTATTAGATTTCAAATTTTTGTTGTTTTTTAGAGCATTCGAAATATTTGGTGTCTATTTTGTAATTATCGTTAGTGTAGCAAAGAAGATAGCTTCCTTTTTAGTTATTTTATTTATTTTACTTTTGAGTTTTGCTCATGCCTTTTTGATTCTATTACAACCAAGAAAAGATTATAGTTTAGATAATCCACCACCTTTATCTAATAATGGTCCCAATAACCCTTGGAAATTAACTGATAGTTATAATCAAGTACTAGAAAATGGTACCATTGCACCAAATTCATCATTTGTTCAACAACCCGACATGAATACAAACATGTTTACTGATTACGGAACTTCAGTTTTATCAATGTATTTATATCTCATAGGTAAATTTCTTTCTTTTAAACCTCAAATCTTTAATAATAATTGACTATATCCAAAATATCAACAGGCGATTCGAATGCTTTATCCAACTGGGAATATAAGAATAATTCACAACTTACCATACTAATGGTATTATTCTCTTTATTAATTGCCGTGTATCTTATGAACTTGTTGATCGGATTGCTCAGTAATGCTATTGAGGAAGATAATAATAGAGTTTCGTATTTTGTACAGATGGCGAAGGTATATATTATGAAGTATTACGATATAATTTAATTTATGTATTCTCATCATTAATATTTATCAATATAGATTTTGGCAGAAATCGAATTATTTTACTTATTTCCAAATCAGAGACGTTGGAAAAGTTGGTTCCCTGACGTGATGTAAGACTTTTATTGTAGTTTTATTCAATGTTAATTTAAAAATATTAGTTTAACTCATTGTTTAAACTAGATATTATCACGCCGATGCTGATGAGACTCGTAGGAAAATTAAAGAACTAATTAAAGATGGTGAATGGAATTCCGATAAATTTTCTGAAATGAAGCAAAAATTATTAAACAAGCTAAGGATTCAGGATAAGTAAGATAACTCTTAAATCAAAAAGATGATGAAAATGTAATTTATAACTTGATATTCAATTTACTTATGTGTGTTTGTTTCTATTGTATAAAATTTTAAAATTTTTTAATTTTTAATAATAATAATATATATATAGATGCCTGCCGATATTCCCACAAAATAATTTCGTGCTATATTTTTTATATAGTTTCATCAGTTTCGGCTTTTGTCGTTTTCGTCGTACCCTTTATATATGTTTAATATAGTTTTGTCTGAGTTTTGACTATAATTAAGAGGTTTCGTCCCACATTTATAAATAATTCTTAATTCTTTTGCTTTTTCAATTTTCAGTTAAGGTAATATATAGTTTATTATATTAATTAATAATATTTATTAAAAAAAGGTTTATATTATAAATAATTGTCTAATTTTATATATAAAAAGTGTGTGTAATGTTTTGGGAGAGAAAATTAAGAATAAATTTTTCGGAAAAATTTATTCATAATTTTCTCTCCACACTATATAATTGTTAACATTCTTATATACAAAATAATTTTTCATATAATTCTTTTGTAAAAAAAATAAATATTTGTATCTTTTTTAAAAGAATAATAGAAATACAAGAAGTTAAAATTATTAAAAAATGTAAACAATTTAAAGATATATTACAAATTTAAAATTTAAAAATTGTTAATTTGCTATTTTATAATTAGGAAAAACCAAATCAAGATCTTAAAGCTCTGAACGAGTCTGGTCAGATCGGGTAACCTGTTCTGATTTGACCCGACCCGTTTGACCTGAAAATTTCGAGTAACCCGGCGGTTTGCGTTGAGTAAATGTAAACTCGATTTCTTCAGGTCGCGTCGGGTCGGGTAACTTGTTCTGACCTACTGATATTAATATAATTTATAATTTAATTTAAATAGTAATAAGCAAATAATTAATTTATTTGTTGCCATCCATTTTACCAGACAATATTTATTAATTGGTTTCTAATTTCATAATAAAAAATCATATCAAGCTTCATCATTTAGCTTTTTTTTTTTTTTTTTTTTTTTGTATTAACTGCTAATATTATAAAATTCAAGTCTAATAATACTAAGATCATTATATTCACTAATTTTTTGAATATTTCAAGATTATGCAAAAAGAATATACAGATATATAATATATGTGTATAAAAGCTTGTTATTTATTTTGTAAATTTATGTCTGATATTACTGTAGTATTTATTGTAAAATATTTTCCTGAATATAGGCAGCGATTAATCAATTTTATCAAAAATTCAAAAGTTTCGATTGGACAATTAAATAATTCGCCATTTTGCTATCTCACTTCTTTTATTAGTTACAAAAAATAATTCTTCCAAGTGATCAACAAAACATGTTGCAAATAAACGGGTCAATCCTTTTCCTTTTTTCACCCTTTCCCAATTATCCATCGCGTATTCCAACCCAATGTTTTTCAATTGAAGGTCTTTTGTCTCCCATGCCAATAACAAGATTTCATCCCAGATATCTTCGTTTATCAACGTTTTCAACTTCCTTGCAATTAAAGCCTTCATATCATCCAACATCATCATGTCACCCTGACGAAAAACGTCACAGAGGGTAACAAGACTCGTATCCATCAGCTTGCCCGAATATAGGTAATAAAGAATCATACGAAATATTTCAAACCTTGTTTCTTTGATGGGTATGGATTTCATATGTTGTTCTTTCCACCCACCTTGTAACATGTTCCTAAAGTATTCTGAATTGGAAGCGAGTATGATACGATGTGCCTTGATCCTCGATCCACAATCTAAAATAAATTCCACATCCGTAAAATTTTCATGCTCAAACCATTTTTCAAGTTGTCCATAATATTTCACTTTTTCAACAGGTTTATCATCTAGAATGGTCACTTGAATGAATAATTCAACCTTCTTTGATTTATCGCCAACTGGGAAAATCGAATCTAAAGAGATGAATTTATTAAATCCCCATGATGGTGATTCCTTACTTAAATCAAAAGTGACTTTGTTGGAAGTTCTTTGATGAATCAAATCCCTTGATAATCGAAAATTCAAACTGGTGTTGGATATTCCAATCCCAATATGATATATTTGATGTCTCTTATCAATGCCCTTAATTATCTCATACGGCGTTTTAATAGCTTCAAGATATAAGGAAATGTGGTTCGAGGCGGTGTATCCGTTTGGGTATATTAATAAACGCCATAAAGTGGTTGAATCAGTTGAATCATCATCTTCTTCACCTTGTTCCTTGTTGAACGTTCTTTGAGGTATGCGAAATATTTGACTTTGTATATATTTTCCATATCTAATGCTCTTTACATAATCTTGAAAACTTCCAATCTCCCATACAAATGTATTTATAATTTCACTCATTTAATTTTAACATTTACGGTACAGTAAATAATAAAATTGTGATTTGGAAAGTCTCTTGAAAAAAAAATATGGAAAATGAGTCAAATTGTACATCTTTATATCATCCGACGTAAGATCAAAAGGTTATTACATATTACTCATTCAAATATAAAAAAAAAAAAGTTAATTATAAATCACTTTGTACTTGTGTAATTTATATCATCTGCTGCATGGTAAATTGCAAATACTCGATCATTAATGTTAAATTCTACAACCACGAGAAAAAGTTTAAAACATATTTACACGCCCGTTGGAAATATAGAGTATAAAGACATCATCACGTGACAAATCCGTTATTTTAAAACGAAATCGCTACCAGATAAATCAATAGATGTTCCTTCAATTCGTGTTTATAGAAATATCTTTAATTTCGATTTAAGTTAAGATTAAAAAAGTTTTCTCTCTATAACTTCTGGAGTCTACTGCTTCAGTGTATCAAGTTCTTTTCTAGTAAAATACGCGTGATAATATTTCATGTAACATTCAACGTTTATTATGTACTCACTTCAAGATCGTGATGAACAAGGTAAAGCTTCGTAAGACATCTTTAATTCTTTCGGAACATCTAATATCATCATTTCACGAATTTACTTTCTCAAAAAATAAAGCCTTTGTTTTTAACAAAAATACCGTTAATCTTAAATCTCGCGTTTAAAGCGTAAAAGTATTAAAAATAAAGCTGTAATTTTAATTTTGTAGAAATGAATTCTAACTACGTATCAGAGTATTAATTTCGATTTAGGTATGATTTAACAATATTGATGTGCTTAAGACATTTTATCCTATATAACAACAAAGATTTTAAAAATAATTTACGCGTTTTTGTTTTTTTTTTTTTTTATTTCTCAAAAAAAAAAAAATAAATAAAATTTAATAGAATCAAGTTTATTTTAACAATTTCCATCAAATTGTTACTTAAATTGAAAGTCTCTTATAAAGAGAATCATTCAATATATAATTTATAATTAGATTGAAGTAGAGGGCATAAAAAATTCTTGTCTTATTGGTTCTCGTTTCTTTATTTTTTTTTTATGCCGCCGTACCTACTTTTTCACTAACTTTAATCTAACAACTTACTTCCTTCACTTAACCACCACTTAACCCCGAATTCCTTTTTAGTATAATCTAATTCGTTACTAAGTACATCAAATAAAACTTTTTGTAATGCGCTTACCCCAACACCACTGCCATCACTTTCCTTTCCAATTGACCTTTCTTCCTTTAAAAATTCCTTAATCTTTGTTAATAAATTTTTCATGAAAATTAAATTAACCGATTTAACTTGATCAATTAAAGTTAAAAGCAAATGACCTCTTCTTAAATACAATGCTGCTTTAGTTAAATTCGCTTCTTCCATTTCTTGTTCCCTTTGCTGTGGCTCTAAAGGATCTTGTTGTTCTCGCTCAACGGCTTCTTTTTGTTCTTTTGATTGCTGCTGTTCTACCGAGCCTTCTGCATGATTAGAAATTTCCGGACGAGAATCTATGAATTTAAGAATAGAATGAATTTGGGCTTTTTAATCAAATATTCTTAAGCAAACTAGTTTCATCAAATATATAAATATTTTATACCTTTATTCAAGTTACTTTGATTAATTGGACTCATATTTTCGATTTTCTTTATTAGTATTTCTAAACATAGCCAAGCTAAAGCATCATCAACCTCCGATAGTGATTTTATGACAGTAGTATAAGCGACTCTAAGTTGTCTTGCATCAATGTTGGTTGGATAAGCCTACAAATGTCAATAAATTAATTTTTTTTTTTTTTATATTTATAAAAAAGTAAATTTCTTAACTTACCGATAACAAATAATTACAATAATATGGACTTAGTTCCTTTGCGATTTCTTTTTGATTAGAAAATATTGATAATATAACAGCATTTGCCGATTCAAATATGTACTTATCATCGTTCCTCAATAAAAGTCTACAAAAGTCCAAATATTAACTACAATAATTCTTATCTTTTTCAAAAAAAAAGTTTCTTCATACCCGTTAAACATTGGTAATACTTGATTCTCCAAATAATCATCATCCAATATTTTAACCAATTGTTCAATAATGAGCAAATAATAAACAACTCTACATTTCTCATGAGGTTTCTTAACATTCATATCCGATTCAATATTTTTCAAGATATTAATTACTTCACTTGAATTATTATTTTCTAATATTTGATTTAGTACACTAAAAAATACACTTTTATAAACTGAAAATCCATACATTGAAAATTTTGATGTTATAAAATATAGGTAAGAATATGTTGATAAAATCGTCATTCTCTCTAAAAAATGTAACAAATTTTTTTTCGGTATTATTTATAGATGAAAAATTATGATGAAATACAAACGTTAATATCTTGGTCTAACTCACCCAGCTCTCCATAAATCTGTGGTTCGGATAATGATCTATTCACAATGGATTTAAATATCATTGTAATTGAAAATAAAATAAACTTGAATATTTGCCAAATAAGCGTCATGCATTTTTTATTTTCAGATTCTACATGAAAATAATTTAGGTTAAAACGGAATCATAATAACTTAAATGATCAATATTTCATAAAATTCATATAATTTACCTAAGGAATCCTCTCTAGCCAAACTAAGTGTAGGAGATTCATCCCATAACTTGTATAAGTTGATGGAAAATTCATTGATCCTGTATATATTATAAATTAATTAATAAATTTTTTTTTTTTAAAAAAAATAAAAGTAACATCCTTGTCAATACCTCGTAAGTGTTGAGGAAATATCATTTTTTTCAACAACTTGAGTTAATTTAGATATCGCCCATGAAATTTTAGGTAATTCTTTGTAAAGCGCATCATTGCTCTTTTCTTCAAGATGTTTACATGACATCTTTTAATAAAGGACGTTAATATTGATATATATTATTTTTTTTTAAAAAAAAAAATTTAATATTCTCTTACATTCCAATTGTGATTTTGTTCAATTTCCTTAAGAAATTTACCATTTTGAAATAAACGAGGATTTTCTAATACAACATTTATTAATAAAGTCATTAATCTGGCCTATTGTAAGGTAAAATTAATTAAATCAATAATTTAAATATTTTTATAAAGATCAGGATGATGTATCTTACCTTGGAATTTAATTCTTTTAATTGCTCTTTTGGAATGAACGGAATACATTGCGCGCATATAAAGGATAAAGTTTCTTGTTTTGGATCTAAATTAAAAGTTTAAATTAGTTTTATAAAATGTAACTATTATACGAATAATTTCATCTTACCATCATTGAATTGATCGATTAAAGAATCGATACTTTTTAAAAATGCCAATTCAACTTCAGAAATGAGTTTACCAACTCTTCTTTTACTATTCGAAAACTGATATCCCTTCCTAAATAAAATAAATTTTGATTTTAAAAAAAAAAAATTTTTCGAATGATTCAACAAATTATTAATTATTACTTACAAGAAACCAGCCAAACCAACAAATCCGATGAAATTATTTTCACATTCAAATACATTTAATAAAGCTCTAACCCATTTAGCCTTATCGCTTTTCCAAAGGTGTTCATCACAAAGTTTTTCGTGACTTGTATATTGTAACATGTAAAATATTGATAAACCTTTATTAAAAGTATATTCTTTGTCAAATTTATCTTGGGAAGAAATAAACTCTTTTAAAATATCTTTAATGAATGAGAGAGATGATGTTGGATTAATAAGTATTTTAGAAACACTTGTGTGTGGTCCGTTATAAGCTGTTGACTGATTTAGAGACATTATTAGGCTAGGCAAAATGAGGAAGTAATAGTAATAGAAAGAGAATTTTTGTTGAAAAAAATCAAAAAATATTGCAGATCACAAAAATATAAATATGGAAATCTGAAATGTAATCATGTGATTTATATAATAGTTCGAGGAGCTGTTCTACCAATAATCGGCTTAAAAAAAAAAAAAAAAAAAAAACGTCGCCAGTCTATGAATGGGCTTCTTTGGCAACGTAAATTTATGCAGTGCTTTTTTCGTAAGAGCAATATCATCATCGCCTAATTCTTTGAAATAGCAACGTACATATTTTTCATTTATTCGAGTTTACGCGTTGTATAAATAAAAAATTCGTAATAAAGAAATGTCTCTTGAAAAATTCATCATTATTTTTATTAATAAAGTCCATTTCAAAATCTCGCGTTTTTTTTTTATTCTCGCCAAGATTTCAAATATTCAAAATTATGAATTTGCCATTCCCGTTTCGAATAGTATAAAATTATATATATCTTTAAAGAAAAATGTTCCATTAAATTAATAAAAAAAACCAACACATTTTATTCCTCCTTCGGAAATTTTGACGTTTTGATGTATCCTGCCATTAAAAGAATACTGTATGTTCATTCGCCAAGAAAAAATTTTTCCTCTACCAAAAATGACAATATTATATTCGGTACCGTAAAAATGATAGGAATTATTTTTTATTTTCAATTCTTCTGCTTATGAGAATTGTAATTAACGCCACGCCTACAATTAAACTTATACATTCCTTATCAAACCTCACATTTCTGATCATGCCCAATAAGGAAATATACATGTTCTGCAAGGATCATGAAGATCCCAGGTGAGATAGCGAAGTAATATATTGTGAGCACCATTGATATCCCGATCAAGCTCAGCTGCGTAACTGGGGGCAACGGAACACTTTGAGTCCACCCAATTTTCGATGGATATGACCACAGCACCCACATGTCTTACTAGCATATTCTTCAGTACATACAATTACCTGACACCATGGATGCTCACGAACTTTATGTAGAAGATATTGGCGGAATCGGAAGTGAGACCATGTAAACATAATCCGTGCAGTCTTAAAACGAATTCGCCGTTTTCCACGCATAAACATTCCCTGTGCCTTAACTCAGGCAACAAAATAATACGATAATTTTGACACAACCATTTGGCAAGTTTATGGTGGCAATCATTAATAAGACAACAGATTTTTATGTATAAGAAGCATGACCTTGCGAAGCTTGCATCTTTTTTGTTTGTGTACTTTTCCATGAATAGAGTCATGCTTGCTTTGGATTTTGTCATACGTCTGGGAAAGCCGATAAATTCTATTAATATCATTTTTACCCCATTCAATAGCTTTTCCACTTGGATCATAACCAGTCATGAATGCACGCACGCCTGGGTCCAGAGCAATTACTCCTTCCTATTAAATTATTAATTATATGATTAAATTAATTTATTAAAGTTTTTATTCTATATTATTGTATAATGATATAAAAATATAAAATCATTTAAACCTTTTCTTGCATTCCTAAAATAAAGGACCTTGGTTTTCGGTCCATATTTCGAGTGGTTTAGGTATGCAAAGATAAAATTCTCCAAGGCGAATTACACCAAGACGACTATCATATTCAAGTTGATTTGGAAGAGTTTCTGCTGACTTGATTTTGTGAAGAAATGCGTATTCGCCACGAGACTTGTCCAATGTTTAGAAAGTATTGAAATTGAAATTGATTGTTGAGAATCCTTTTTATAACGGAACTACTTCTTGAATTTTTTATGATTTATAGCAAAGTTGGAAGAATATCCTTTAAGCAAGTCATTCATAGCTTCATCTCGTATATCATAAGGAGTTTCTATAACCCACTTAAGTTTTGTATCATTTTTAAAGTTCTCAAAGATCCATTTCACAAGCTCAGGATCCGAAACAACACAATCAGTCCTAATAAAAAAGTTAGTAAAATAATAAAAACAATAAAATAAAAACAAATAAAAATTAAACTCTACTTTTCGGTCGGGTAACCACCACTTCCTCGATTCTTCCTGTGTGTATTCGTTCCAGAAGGGCAACAAATCCCCTGTATTTCCATTTAGTCCTGAGAAAAGTTTAACGAATCTTTGTGACGTAAACTTCTGATGTGTCAGCAAAAGCATCTGATGACAACAATCCTATCATTTTATATGTAAATTTAGCCAAACCAATCCATCGTTAAATACACTGAAAGTCCTACGTAATTACAGAATTATCCAAACAAATTTCACGAGTTAACATTAAATAAAAAATTTTTTTATTTTTTTTTGTGATCATATTTTCGTTCCTATTGAACGGTTTCGGCTTATATTTTAGGTCGTTGTGTCACATCAGATAAAAGAATTTTTTTTTGTTTGAGGAAATGTGGATTGGTGTAATGTTTATAATTGTCCCAACAAAAGATTAACCAAACTCACCGAAAATGCGAAAGGGTCGTCTTTTTGAGTTTGGGTATCCATTGCTCTTAAGTATCTATGTGGTTTCTATCCTCCTCCCTTAACTAGCCTCACAATTATTTAACAAGTAGTTTACTTACACAATTAAAACCTTCGTGACATCTAAAATCTCAAAACACGAATTTATTTAAAGAAATCTATTTGCAGATCTCCTTAATTTTACGCGGCGATCTTAATGAACAACCATGCGGGATGAGATAGAATATTTTATCGAGTGGAAGTGACACTTTACTCCTTCTTACATTGAACGTGAAAGATGTAAAATAGGAGCTTTGTTATTTTTACAAAAAAATAAAAATCGCGTTATCATCAATGAAAGTGGACCTTAAAAAAGAAAAAGGGGACCTATTTTGATGAAATGTGACAAAAAAAAAAAACAAAAAAGCCATGAGCCTTTTAAGCCTCCTTATAATGTTGTATTATGATTCTTTGAAAAATTTTATAGAAGCGTATTGTATTATCGTTTAAAATTAACAAAATAAAAAAAAAACAAAGAATTAAGTATTTTTTGGTAGAAGCCACATTCCCAACTTTCTCATGCACAACAATAATCATAAACAACCGCCGCCTTTTACAAATAAATATTTTATTCATTGTAATTAATCACCTAGAGAAGAGAATCTGCCCACAGCTACACATGAAAAAAAACTTCTGGTGGCACAATCCGTTTGCATAACCTTTATACAGTTATCAAATTTTGGTATTGTTTGTTTTTGTTTGTAGATGACTTTCTAAAAGATAATTGCATAGCTCTGAAAAAAAAAAAAGCAAAACTAATTTATTTTGTCGCCTTTTATCACTTTTATCAATTATAATTATCATTAAACAAGCATAAAAACCACAGGTTACACATTCATTATTTTGGAGAAAGAATTTTTTTTTTTTATTAATAATGAAATTATTTTTTTATTTTTAAATATATTTACAAATTCTTTCTGAAAATAGTGAAAAACAAAATTAAATTAAATAATTTTTTTTTTTTTTTTTTTGTATTTAAAATTTTTTTCTTTTTAAAAAAAAACAACCATAAGAAAGAAAAGTTCATAAGATGAGAATTCCACCCCCCCCAAAAAAAAAGATTTAAGGATGTGTCAGTCTATATAATCCATAGTTGTGTAAATGAAAAAAAAAGTCCTTTTTAATATAACATGAATTTGGATGATAAATAAAAATATAATGAAAAATAAAAAGCTATGATTTTGAATTTAAAATGTTTATGATTTATAAAATAGATATGTACCAACCTAAATGAATCCCGATATCGCTACTTATCAGTTACTAAAGTTGCTGAAACTAACATGTTGTGTTCGTTTCATCTATTGGCAAATAATGATCATAAGGATTGTACAGAGGGTGGACAAAAGTATCTGCACACTTTTTTACTCAATATAAAACTTATAATTTTTTTGCATTAACAATAAACGGTCAATTAATATTGTTAACGTGCAATTCTTGCGAATTACGACAGTTAGACGGGGTGTTCGAGTGGTAAATCTTTTTAAGTTTA